AAAAATTATCAAATAACAGAATGAATTTAGCAGGGTTAAATAAATAAAAAAAAAAATGATAGAAACACTATTTACAAATAATGGAATTTAAATCTATAAAAGACTTGAAAATTTCCTGTTTCTACACATGATTGAATCGTATGAATTATAAATTCATACAATTTGATCATTTTTACTGAAATGAAGAAACATTTAGCTGAAAAACTGAATAGTAAATTGTAGATTGTTAACCTTTTCAAAGCAACAGAATCAATTAAACGTTTCCTTACCTGGTTGCTCTATACATAAACTAACAATAAATACATTCCGTTAAAATATTGTTAATCGACAGTGCAAAACATACAAATTAGTATTACAATTTTTTGCAATATCTGTCAAATGCATGTATATTATTTCTGAATTTATCAATATTTTCGTAAATCAACCAAAACGTGTTCGACAGTCACAATAACATCGCAGTTAATAATTATCGTTTTATGACACATTCGCGATATTATCTGTTTAATACCGCGACGATAACGCGACGTTATCGTTTTCTGTAATTATAAGTTATCAATAGTGATCATAGTACTTCCTTATCATTTCATTTGTGGTAGTGACATTTTATAGCATTTGATATCTCTGTGAATATAAAATACAATAACCTGCATAAAGAAGAATATGTCTATGTTCCCACATTCTACAAGAAATTAGTTTCATAGTTTTAAACTGAAATTATTATTTTAATTTTTTTTTTTGTAAATTCTCTTTCAATGACACTACAAGGCTCAGTGGACATAGCTTTCCTTTCAATATGGCGATCTGGTTAGAATCGCAACGATTGTTGGTCAATACGAATTCCACACCTGGCTCTTACCGACCACATTGCTAACATAACAGTAGTAGACGGTTCATGGGTTAGAGTCCCCTTGCAGACAGGCTAACAGTGGGAGGGCTTCGCAGTTTTCCTCTCAAAGTAACGCAAATGACTGTTGGCTCCATCAAAAAAAAAAAAAAAACCCTCCACCAAAACAAATTTCTCCCAATACTTGATACAGGAATTCCCTTGTTTTCAGGATTGGGTTCAAAATTACAGGGACATGGAATTGAACATTGGTTGTCGTAAAATCAAAATTGGGTCTGCTGTTCATCGCTGGTTATGAAATGAAATAAAATGACCCCCTACAAGTCAGAAGCTATGTTATTATTGTTCGTAGCGGTGCCCCATTGAAGGGCTGCATATCTTTCAAAGAAATTTCATTATTCTCCATGAAATACAATAAAAGAGAAATACAATTTATGGGTGGCAGCACAAATTTTGTAAGAAACTTCTATGTAATTTTTTAATAATATAGTGGAAATTTTTTACTTTTTAAAAAAAAGAAGAAGATAGAATCTTAAATTTTTTTAAGGAAAGAAAAACAAACAGATATATAATATGTGAATCAAAACAGAGCCGTATATTCTAAGTATTTTGTCAGTTATAACAAATGATAACTGTTAATGCATTAAAATAATTCTTATAAAACTTAGTAAATTAGATGTGGCAAATATTTGTGATTCTCTCATTGAACGAGTCTATCAAATAAGGCACACAAAACAAACAGAAAATATGTTAATTTGCTTATTCTCGCTAATAGACAGGTGTGTGTGTGCAAAAATACTCACACAAGACACTGTATCACCTGAATGTAAAAAAAATTCTTTGTAAAGAGCTCAAACAATTAATTTTGAAAGAAAAAAACTTAAGTAAGTATATAGAACCTTTTTTTTTAATGCAAACCAAAGAATCACACCTTTTATTTATTTATTTTAATTTAATCATTTTTTTTTTTAACAGAGCAGTAAAAGAAAGAAACATAGTTTAATATACTAACTTAATATTTGAAAGGTCCCAATAAAATCAATCAATTAAAAGATTTGTTAAAACATTTTAAACTCTTCAAATAAAACAAATCATTCTAGAAAATAATATTAAAATATATATTTAATGTAAAAAAAAAATATTTAATAAACTAAGTGTGCATATATTATTATAGTACTAAAAATTTTTTTGTTTGTACATGTATTATAATGCATTTGTGCAGCTCATTTGAGTACAATTATTTTTTATTATTAGTATTATTTAAAACTTACATATGTGGTGAAATACATTTTTTTCATGTGTAATTTTTAATTCATAAAACAAAACAATTAGAGTACAGAACCCATCTATTTTTGGTAAATTAAAGAACACAGAATTTATCTATTATTTGACAGAAGATTACAAAAAAAATTCTTAGTAGACTTTATTATTTCTGTGTTGTATGGTTATTTTAAATTATAAAAATTGAATATTTTATTTTTATAGCAGTACTTCTTATGAGATCTTTTCTTCTTTTTTTTAAATAAAAGTTACATTTTAGATGTTTGTACAGCTTTTTCTCTTCAAAAGGCAAGCAAAAACATTTAAAATTACAAAATTAATACCTCCTTTCCTGATAACAGTTTTCTCAACGACTTAACACTCAATTTCGATTGTAGGTGGCAGCACCTTATGTGCATCGCTAAAGTTTTCAGTTTACAAAGAAATTTTTTTTAATGACTTAATTAACGACGTTTCAATTTTAATTTTATTCAGAACAAAATACCAAAAGAAAAGAAAAAAAAAATGCATTATATTTCTCATTTCAAATAAAATAAATGTATTTTATTAACTAGTAATTAGTTTAGTATTAATAGTACAATAATATTTATTTAAAAACAAATTACAATGCATTTACACCAAAAGTAAAGCCAACTACTTTTTATTTTTACAAGACATCAAATTTCATTTTTTACAAATACATAAAATTTTAAATTTAATTTAAAATAATTTTGCTAGCCATGTTTGTAAAAAAATAAATAAAAAATGGTAAAAAAGAAAATTAATACACATTGGTTTAATATACCTCAACTTTATAAAACACTAACAATTTGCAAACACTATTATATATAGATTAAATCTATGAGATTATTTTTCTTGGTAATGTGTTTTAATTTTTAATGGTTTTAATATATATTTTATCAAACAATATTATCAGTAAGTTTATCAAAACTAAAATTGTGCAATGCATTTCAGAAATTCTTTTAGTATCAAATTTTATAAGGATGATTTGAAACCGTTCTAAAAGTGACAAATTGTGCTGTAACACACTAATATCAAATAAAATATTATACTCATAATTTAAATTTTAATTCAAAAAACTTTCGGAATAGATGGGGTGATAAATACTTCAATAATTATTTCAAAAAGATCCAAAACAACCGATCCTAAAATTTATAAGGCATAAGCACTATTTAATATTCATAAAAAGTATTGCACTATGCACTTTTGTATTTCAAACTTTAAATTGGTTCACAGAAAGCAATAATCTGTTTATAGCTTTCTTTAATAACCAGATTAATTTTGTTAGATTAGTTTTCTTGATACTTCAATAATTATTTCAAAAATATCCAAAACAATCGGTCCTAATGTTTATAAATCATAAGCATTATTTAATATTTATAAAAAGTATTGCAGTATGTACATTTGTATTTTAAACTTTAAATTGTTTCACAGAAAGCAATAATCTGTTTATCGATTTCTTTAATAACCAGATTTATTTTGTTAGATTAGTTTTTTTGACGCTTCAATAATTATTTCAAATATATCTGAATTGCCCGATCATTAAAAAATTATAAATCATAAGCACTATTTAATATTCATAAAAAGTATTGCAGCATGTACTTTTGTATTTTAAACCTTAAATTGTTTCATAGAAAGCAATAATCTGTTTATCGATTTCTTTAATAACCAGATTAATTTTGTTAGTTATTGTTCATGGAAAAGAAAGTTTCTAATGCGAAAGAGCAAATTTTCCAAAACACAATTTACTTAATCTTTAATTTAAAAGGTACATAAGCTGCAATTTAATTTTGTTTGTTTTCTTTTTGTCCAATTGCACAGCAAATAATAATTTTTTAAATTAAATTCAAATCAACTTATGTTCAAATAAAGTAAAAAAATATAAATACTAGTTTATACTTATTAAAAACTTAATACTTATTAGAAACTTGCACTTAATACTTATTAAAAACCTGTTAACTTATAAGAAAACAACAAGAAACACCTCATAAACAATGTATAAGTTTCTTACATGCAAGTGCGAATTTTCAAAAGTTTTATTTTCGTAATTCTATGAATTCAAAATTAAAATTTAGAGTCTAGCAGCATAACTTGTAGATAACATAACTAAAACAGCTTATCCCAACAAAGATAGGGTACAACTTGTGCTACTCACAGATATAGCCAACCAATCTAAATAAAGCACAGTCCATTTCTGTGCTGCTATATTCATTTTGTGTCATTATTTATATTTCATTTTATGTTGGTTAGCTTAATTCATGATTAAAACAGTTTGAAAAAAATAACTCAACAGAAACTTTGTTAAAACATGAAAAATGAAGCAAACAATTTGCAAAAATTCCTTGTTAATTTTTGAACAATATTTATTTTATCTTTTATTTTCAATAGTACTTAAGTTTTAATTTAAAATGTAAATCTTGTATTCTTAACAAGAAAAATTAAATAAAATATTTTAAGATATTGAATATTTAATTAATCTGATATTTAAATATTATTTATATTTATTAAGTTATAATTAATGAGTCTAGCTGTTTAGTCTGTTGTTAATTAAAATTGCATCAAATTTCAAATTAAACTTTTTTTAAAATTATGCTGCACATTAGTGAAACTATAATCGTATCAAATTATCAATCATCAAATTATTATATACTATCAAAGTAATTATTATCAAATTATTTTGACTAAACAATATAATAAGGAATATTATGAACCATGAATATGCACAGGGATCTTCAAATTATAGTTGACCTTGGGCTATATATATAGACAAAAACAATGACTGCGAAGATAAAAAGTTAAAAAACAATAAAACAACAAAATAAAAGGGATAATTAATAATAAAGATAGGAAAACTTAGGTTAAATATGTACCATACCTCTCATTCCATAACCCCATTCTGTAGTAGGTGGTAAATCAGAAGGCCAAAGGCAACATGGTATGGAAGACAATGTTCGAATTTTGGAAAAAGGTGATATAGGTGTACAAATATATGGAAAACATGCATTAAATGAAGAAGGATAAGTGCAAGATGACGAAATTAAGGATTTCAAGGTAAATTTGGTTAAATTTCGAGCCGCATTGCCAAATTTGATGAATTGCATTTTTGTTTAGCTCATTAATGGAATAGGGAAGAATTGAAATGATAATTCTATGCACTAATAATGACTTACATTACATATTCCCCAATCAGAAGTTCCATTTCATACAACTTATCGATTTCAAACGTAATTTTTTTCGAAAGCTTTTAACTTTCATTCTGAAGAAAGATGTAAATATAAACAAAACACAACCACGAGGATTTTATCTTTGGCGATAGTCCAAGATGATTGTGGCGCCAAGGGAATGCCAAATTACGGAAAATCCCTGTATGTGCGAAATTTCCCTATGAAAATCTCTTTGAAGTAGAAAACAATTTTATTCTTTTCGCACTCATGGCGCATTGTGATTTTTATATTTTCATCCAAATTCGTAAAGTGTTCTACTCTAAAAGTATTTTATGGTTTCTTTTTATTTATTTTAAATCAAAAATTTTAGAATTGTGTTTATTATTATTTGGCGATGTTTAGGAAGAGATTAAACAACTATAAACTCTTTCCTTTGGACCTTGGACGCATGAATTATCGATGATTCAGTAGATAAAAGAACAGGATCAAGAAGTCAACGAGAAGGAAACAGGCGTTTGTTCATTAAAAAAATATAACATTTTTCCTTCATCTGTCGTGTTAGAATGATGTAACATCACTTAAGTGTCAGACATTATTTGTGTTTTAAGTGCGTCAACGTACTTCATGACCTAGAAATTATATAGTGGAATTTTATAAATTATGCCGTTACTTCCTTCTTATTTATTTCAATTGATATTAATATCGGGAAGTTTACGTTGCTTCCTCGGCTGGGGGGGAGGGCATGCCTTCCCAATAATTTTTTTAAACTTCAGAATATTTTTAAAGTTATTACTTTTTTAAAACCCAAAACCCGCAACAGTTATCTTTTAATTTAAAAGCCTAAATAAATCAAAAACTTTATATAGTTTAAATGTAATTGAGCGAAAATATTTTATAAATATCACTTTTATGTAAAAGCTATCTTAAAAACCAGTAAAAGATTTCTTTTTTTTAAAAATTTTATTTTGAAGTTGTTACAATTTGAGTTCAATGAAACAAATTTTAAGAACAATCAAACGATTTTCCAATGAGACAAAATTTAAGTAATATTTCTTTATTTTTTTTAGTTTGTAATTGGATACTAGCACTTCAAGAAGAAGATCTTCCATACCATCACATGCGATCCATAACGTCATAGCCAGCTAAACTATATTAGCAAAATGGCGTAAAGTTCTCTACATAATTCAGAATGTTAACTAACGTTTTAAGTTAATTAAATACATAACCGTATCAAACCACAAATTTGTTGCAATCTAATTCCTTCTCGCTTGCTATTATATATTTCGCCTTGATATATTTAAAAATACAATGTTAGTAAGCACTCCTTTTTGCGGGTATAATCGTATGAGCTGATGAAAGAGATTATATCTTTTAATTATTTTATTTCCTGCTTTTTACAATATATATACACACCCTTGTGCAAATTAATTGAAGCAAACTTTTTTTTTCGTGTTTTCTAAAGAAGATGTTTTGGGGTTGTTACGGTTACAATGGGGTTGGACCTTTGCAGCCTATTGACGGTATGATGCGTTCTGAGCAGTACATTATTATTATGGGTAAAAAAGTTGTTCCAGAGTTAAAGAAACGATACCCTGATGGAACAGGGATTTCTCAACAGGATTTAGCTCCTTGCCATGCGTCCAAAATTGTCAAGAAATTCATGTCTGAAAATCAAATTGAGACATTGGAATGGCCAGGGAACTCTCCGGATATCAACCCAATTGAGAATCTCCGGGCCATATGCAAGAATCGCCTATTAAATATGGACTGTACAACTATGGAGAAGCTAATCACGGCGTTAATTCATGTGTGGTACAAGGACACNTCCCGACTAGCTGCAGACTTCAAATTTGGCACATAGTTCAGAATTGGATGACAATGCATGGAAATGATAATTCAAAAAAAGACATAAAGTAAAACAAATTTAAAATTTAAAAAAAAATGTATATTTTCGCGATTGTCTTTTGTTGTCGATTCGATTATTTCAAATTAGTGTCACATTCAGATACAATTACAGATATACATACACATATTCTGATGAGCACACATACTGTTATGTATTTCATGCACCCCACGTTTTTCAAATTTTTGTTTTTTAACTATTATTCTCCACTACAAAAACGTGGTTTTCAAATATATTATTTTGATTTTTTTTAAAAAAATTGTGCAAAGAGGACTGCATTTGTAAAATTATACAAATATAAAATTTGAAAATAAATTGAATAGTCAGTGAATGATGGACTGTTTAGATTTAGAAAAATAACAAATACCACTTAAAATTTTTCATTCACTTCTAACTTCAGATATTTCATTAAAAAATAATTCGTAAATTACAAAAAACTAATTAAGAGATAAATCATAGGTTTTGTAAGTAATATAGAGGAATACAGAATTTTTTTTTTTTTTCTGTTTGGTTAAATACTTATGATTAGCTTTTTAATTGAAATCTAAGATGACAAAAACCATCAACAAGAACAACATAGATTAAAAACTCGATTTAAATAAGACGAGAGGATTTAAAAAAACAACTGATCAAAGATTTTCTTTATCGCACAATAAAAGCTGCTCTTAATTTTTATTCTAGCCAATTCCACGTTTTAGTTTACGAGCAATCTGTATGCTTTTTAGTACCCGTACGCGCGTACCGCTATTCTATCCCATCAGCGATCGTAAATATTTTTTAGCTTTTTTATGAGAGAAGTATGGTGAGTAAAATTGAAAATGGAAATAGGGGAGGAAAAACGTCTCTTTCCTTACAGGTGAATCGCCAAGGTCAACGGTAGAAATAACCTTGGGGAAAAGAATTTTAATAATATTACTTTCAAAGCATTCAGAAAAGGTATGGCTATCTTTTTTATGAATGCATTGTTTATTTTTTACAGCTAAAATAAAATGCCACGGCAGGAAAATGCAATGCAATTTAACTAACTTTAGAAATTAATTAAAATGCAAATCTAATTAGCAATTATTCAATTTACTGCAGTTCACAACATGAATATGCAATTCCATCGGTCAATGAGACAAATCGTATCTATGTTACTCTGAATGGCCGAAATTAGTGAACGTCGATATTCAGACAGTAGTTGACCCAAAAGACGTTCCGCGGAACCCTAGGGTTTAGTGGAAGTAATAGGGTGTTCCGAGTATTTGGACTTATTTTAGCAATTATTTTTATATTCAAGCAATAATTCATTATTAATTTACCTTATTCAGGTAAAATGCCGGTTGAAAAATAATTTAAAAATTATTTTTTTTAATATATATTTCATTTTATTTGTGTGTAATAAAAATTAAAACTTACTGAGGTAATGAGGTAAAACAAATAAATGACTGATGTAATTACTGTCACTTTGTCGATGCGTTGCTGTTGTGGTGATGTTGAAATTGGGCAACAAACTTCGGATAAGTAAGTACCAGCTTCAGAAATTATTGTAACAAAAATACTAAAAGCAATATTAGATTACTCTTAATTTTTAATATCATAATCCTTACATTCCAATTTTTACTTTAATGATTGCTGTGCAATTAGTTAAACATCATGTTCAATTTCAGATCATTTTGTATTGAAAAATTTATTGTTGTAACTCACGCAAGTCATTTATTATGTTAGATTTTGAGAAAAATACATGCATTTCTATCAATCAAATTTTTACTGTAATTAAACGTTTTCAAAGGGAAGTAAAATTCTAGAATTTAGTGAATGATGAGCTTTTATGACACATGCACACATTTTTTTGTGACCATAATAGATGTAACTAATAGCAACCTGTTATTGCTTAGTATAAATGCAAAGTAATTATAGTCATATTTTTTACTGAAGAATTCTCTCAAATATTTTGAAAGAAATGATAGTGACAAATTATATAACTAGTTATTTTTATTTAGATAATCTCATAAACGATTAGCAGAGAGTTTTTATACTTCATCGATTTTTGTGTATTTTGAATAAAATTTTCAATTCTAAACTCTTGTATTTTTGTATAGTTTCTTTTTATTGAAATACAATTAGTAGATTGATTTTCACGAAGAAAAATCGTGTTCACTACTTTTTTTTTTCATTAAACATTTGGAAGTTTATTTATATTTCGATAGTCTGCTTCCCAGCATTTCATAAAAGTATTATTTTCTACACTCATTTCTTATGGATTCAAAACGTCTGAGAAGGTAAAAAAAAATTATTATATGCTTATTCATTTATTTCCAGTACTAGATTTTAATAAGAATAACAATTTTTAATAAGAATAAGAAAAACTAAGAGGTTAAATGGGGATGAATATTGCAAGTATGTGAATCAAGTTAATTTTCGACATCTAAATGTGATTTAGACAATTTTGCTAATATTCAAATATAATAGCTACTCTGTTCCTTAAAATGATAGGAAAAGCATAAATATGGTCTTAAAGATTTTGTGTGTGATTATATTTTAATTCTCATCCTATCTACACTTTTCAATTAAAGAAAAGTGTTTTATCTGGGTACAAATTTATTATTTTTTTTTAAAGCCTAGATTAAATACTAACGTTGGGGGGAAATGTGTTATATGTTTGTCTATAAAAATAAATGTTTTTTGATAACGAAGTAAATTTTACAATACACTTCATTTTTTGATTGTAAGAAGATTTAATCCACCATAAAACCTTGGCTATTGGATGTTACTTCCTCAATAATAATAAAAAAAATATTTTAAATCCATAGCTTTAAAATTTATTAGTCAGTTTAGATTAATTCGATTGATGTCATATTTTTCCCGTCTCGAGAATTGTGGTTCTTTTTTTCCCACGTAGATAACAATAAAAAATGGCGAAAGAGTAACAAATATAAATCTTAAATCTTATATTAAAATTTAAATAAAAAAATTTATTGGGTTGTTCAGAAAGTAATTTCGCTTTTTTGGGGAAAAATGAAAGACAATTTTTGTAAAATGAATAAATATTTTATTAAATTACATATGGGCCATTGTGGTCCAAAACCTTTTGCCATCTTTCTGGTAGTAGCATGATTCCACGCTCATAAAATTTTTGTTTTTTCCTGGCAAAAAACTGATCCAGGTGATTTTTGACATCTTCATTTGAAGAAAAGGTTCAACAATTCAAAAATTTTTGCAGTGTCAGGAAGAACAAATAATAATCCGAAGGCGCCAGATCTGGAGAATATGGTGGGTGTGGCA